GGGCAGCACACATGCCCTTTAGCAAAAACACCTAAAAAAAAAAAAAAAAAAATTCTAGATTGGTGGGTATTTTCTGTCTTTCAGTATTTTATATATTTCAGTCTATTCTCTTGCATGTATATATGCTTTATTTTATTTTTTAGCAATTTATTTATTTAGTTTGCCATAGGGCACATGTACTCCCTGGAGAGAGATGAAGAGAAAGTGAGAAATCATGTGCCAGGAGGGATGGCCATGCCACAATCTCTTTTCCATTTTCTTCTTGGGATTGTGGGCATGCAGACACAAATCTGGCATGTTTTCAAGCCACCAGGTCTGGGTCTGAAACCACACTGTCAGCCATGTAGGATCCAGCTGCCTTAACCACCATGGCACCAGCTGGCTCCATGTATGAAAATTTTAACAAAATTATAAAAGGGATTCTAATAAACATACGAAAGTGTTCTTTTACTTTCCACACAGCTAAAATGCTCATAAATATGTATGTATTTGATTTATAAAAATATGTTGTATTCCCTAAAGAATAAAAGTAATTCCTTTAATGCTGAAATAAGTCAAGTAACACTGCTGTTTGATATTTTCCTATTATATGTAACATGTGCATATATCTTTGTTTCTGTATCCCCAATCTTTGTCAAGGCCTTGGTATATCTGTTTTTCTCCAGTGAACTCCAGGTTGTCTGCACAATTTGGGAAGAGGAAGATCAAACATGAATTGTTGGGGCCAGCAGATGGAGTAATAGTTATGTCGTTGTACTCCCACAGGGTGACTGCCGTTTGAGTCCCAGACCCAGTGGTTTCAAACTCACGCTGGGTGTTTGTGCATGCCTGTCTAAGATCCCAAGAGGAGAATGGAGGAGAAGGGATTGTAGCGCAGCCATCCCCCCTGGGGGGTGATTTCTCACTTTCTGTCTCTGTCTCTCTGATGAGCGCATGTACCCTGTAGCAAAAAAAAATCTAAAAAAAAAAAAAAAAGCTTGCTTATTCATCAGTGAGGAAGCCATTTAACCCAGAAAGCAGCAAAATTCTCGTGAATATAAGTTAGACAAAGTGTGTCTTCCAGGCAGAAATCTTATTTTTTTAACAGCCAAACTTACTTCACTTGTGTTAGTTTTCCTTTTTATTCCAGATTGTAAAAAAGCAGATTCAACTAGAGAGGGGAGGATAATCAGATACTCCCCGAGCTCTTCACACAGATATTTTATGTCGAATTTTTCCCCCAAATATAAATAATCTGACCACCACTTTGTTTTACTTAACCTTATTGAACCTCCCTAAATATAATAGCATATTTTATCTGAGTTCACTTTAAAAATGTTTAAACTTAGCTGAAAATCTAGAGGCTTCTACCCCTTCATATGGGCTTCTTGACTGAATCCACATGTTTCTGCCACACAAAGTCAGCTCAAGGGATGTCCATTATTTTTCTGATTTGATGGGGAGAAGTCCAAAGTTTCTCTCACATTTCAGAGATGTCGAAAGTTTTCCCTCTCATCTGAAGATGCCCTTCTCCTTCATTTTCCTTCTGACCTACAAAGATTTCTAGATAGTTAAAGCCACATACTTCCAAATATTTATGGGTTAATCTTAATAAAAACAAAACATTTTTTTCCCCAGCTCTGTATCTCAGCTTTTCTTACACTTCTTTGTAGAGGCCAAGATTGTCTTAAATTAGGTTAAACTGATTGAAGTTAATCCAAATTAGATTTGTTTCTATTTGAAAACAGGGAAGAAGAGATGATTTTGATCCATGAAAGGAAGACTGGAGAAGGAAAAAGGTAACAGAATAGCTAATTGGATTCTTAGAACATTACAAACAAAAGATTGAACAAATACTTTTTTATTTTAAAATGCTCAAGGTGGGGCCAGCAGGTGGCATGGTGGTTAAAGCACTGAACTCCCATGTGGCGGACTGGGATTCAAGTCCTGGATGAGGTGCCTGCCTTTCTTTTCCTTTTTTTCTTTCTTTCTTCCTTTCTTTCTCCCTTCTTTCCTTCCTCCCTTCCTCCTTCCTTCCCTCCCTCCCTCCCTTCTTTCCTTCTGAGTTAAACCATGAAAAAATACTTATTAGTAGTTGTTTCTAAACAGCACATACTGAGATAGCAGAAACTAAAGCATTT